TCTTTTAGCCCCTCCAAACAAACAAACTCCACAAAAATACATTTAGGCAGAGAAGGGTGGGACTGCCCTTGTTGACAACAGTCCACGTTGAAAGCTAGGCATAACATGAAACTACATCTTAAAAGCAACTTTTCATTGTCTAATTTATTAAATCTGATACACTACATACTTGGGAAGTGTTACTTCCAAAATATTTTCTTTCGAAAAGGAACTCCTTCCTGGGACCCCAATCCTACTTAACACTTACTTGTATACTTAAATTTAATGCTATGTGCATTTTCCCCCACAGGAACAGAAAATGTATCTTTTCACAAAATAATTATATTCCATCAATTCTGATCTAGAAGAAAAATGTGTACTTGAGGCACTTGAATTTGAGGGTTTCATGCAGGCATATTTAGATAAATTAACATGGTAAAAAATAGTTTGTATATAAACCCAACTTTTCATAACATTTATGCCTCTTTGGCCTAAAACAGAAAAGACATTCCAAGCAATTTTTAGAAAGAACCACATATCACAGTCTCCAGATCCGACAAGTATACTAATGCTGGCACAGCTGAGCTCAAACTTGAGTGCCTACAGTCATACCACTGTGGGATTTAGGCTGATCAGATTTCATAAACTCATTTCCCAGTGCTATGGGAGATCCTGTGCTCTTGGAAGTGCTGAGTTTTGGCTAGAACATAGAACAAATCACTTTTTGCAGGAGCAGCGATGTTAGCCCAGCTGCATTAAGGCCCTTACATACATACTAAAAAACAAGAACAACTCCCCCACAGTCATGCATAATATTTTTTTTGTGAATAAAATACATTATGCTCAAGTTGAGGAAGGGAAAGTAAAGACTACATGTTTCAGTTCACATTGACCACAGTCAAATTTGCATTTAAACTCAAAACCAAGTGTTGTTTCATCCACAAGGAATACAACAAAGAGTATTGTATTACTGGGTTATGAAAATATTAAAGTATTTTCAAAGCCTTGGTTTCAATATAGATAGAATCCTCATTTAGTCACTTTCAGTTATTAAATATCACCTGTCCTAAACCTCATTTCAATAACAAATTAGAAAAACCATTTTTCACTCTGGGTTTCAACTGTTGTATCATGATATGATGATGCCTTAGTGCACAGTTGCTGCATTGTATTCTCAAGGCAGTTGCACTAAAATAGGAAGGAGAGTTTCACATATTTTTGAGACTCCTAGAATTTCTTCTAGTGTCAAAGACTAGATGAGTGTCTCATAAATCTTAGATAGTGTTTCAGTAAAATATCACAGTGTTACTGTACACAAGGATGACTCCCCAGAGAGGACTGAAAAATGACTCCATTTGCTTTTGCTGAAGTTCACTGTGCAAAGTCAACGACTGACGCAAACTAACACTCCTCCACTTGCCAACTTCATCATAAAGCTCAGGAGTCAAAGGAGCGAGGAAGGCAATACAAAGCTGCCAGTGTATTTCAGTCATGCATTTCTGGAAAGTGCTAAACACAGCTTGACAGCATATCTCCTAGCATCAGTTCTGCTATGGCAGGTATCCTCCATTTTTAGAGCCTACTATCAAACAGTGTCAAAAGCCCAATGTTTACAAAGCCTTGAAAACAGATGCTCCACTCTGAGTTAATAATCTGATTTAATCAATATCATGATGGAAATTTTGTGGTTCTACCACCTAATGTCTTGCAGCTTTTATCACAAACCCATAAACCAGAAGGCACTCAGTTGAATAAACACAATAGGCACCATGTTACTATTCTGATATGTTACAAATCATATACAAATTATGCTTTAGCAAGTTAGAATCTACAAGGCAAGTCTGTAGCTTGCTCTCTCGTATTCACAGCTCATGACATATGAATGCACTAACTGTAGAGCCTCAATCCCACACTGGTAACTGACAAATGTATAAAGCAAACATGAATTATAGGCCTTTTTATACAAAGAAAAAAAAAATCAAGAAATCATTCTAAATGAAACTATTAATCGACAAGTTGATTAACTATTCTTCCAGAGTCATTCATTATATGAAATAAAAATTCATCATCACTATGCATAACTGCAAACATAAATGTCCATTAAGCAACAGGAAAAAAGAATTTAAAAGAAATAAATTTGGGCTACAAATCCCATTGTTTGCATCAACTTGCAAGTATTTGGGGATATTTCCAAGTTTTAAATACTTGGTTGTTTCCAACAGACTGAACGAAAACTAAACAAAAATATTTTTTTAAAAAGTGTTCTACTCTCATAGACTCCCAACAAGTGACATATTCTGCTAAAAATACAGCAGGGTATAAGCACATTATTAGTACAAAACAGAACACATTTTGCAGACTGCACCATTCTATATATGTCTTTGTAATACCGAAGTTTAACCATAGAGCCACCTGTCCCACCTGTCCCTTGGACTCCCTTTTATTAATGCAGCCTTTTCTTGTGAACAGTTTCAGTTCCAAAAGTACAAAGGCAACTCTTCACAGCTCTCTTCTTCTGGGCTTATTCCAAAGTGTGTATCAACCAAAAATGCTAGCAGTTTGACCTCTTTTGAAGCACTTGCTTTTTTCACTTAGCTTTGGTAAGTTGCAAGTCCAGTACTAATTTTAACAGTGTATAATTTTAACAGTGTAAATACCTAAGTTGCAAGTCCAGTGCTATTTTTAACATTGTAAATACCTCTCCCACTGGATTGAGATGTCTAATACAGTTTCTTTTTGTTCTTTGCTTTAATAGTAAAATGTTTTTTCTTATAGTATCAGGAGTTGTGTTCTGAACCTCCTTTTCATTTATTTTATCAGAAGGCTTGAAGAGCAGAATGACAGGTTTTTTTATTCAGCGATCACATTAGACCTTTTAAGCCCATTTTAGATACACCTACCCTTCAGTGCAAAGTAGTACTTAAAAAATATGACTTGTCAAAATTACTATTAAAAAAATGACAGTAGCAAAGATGCCTGATATTGCTAGATGGTAGTAAGCCTGGCCACCATAGCCCAAAGGCTCAGCATTCTGGTTCAAGACCAAGTTCAGGTATCACAGAAGTATTGACAAAAATCAGTGTCTGACTTCAGAAAAATCCAGCACAGAGAAGGTAGACAAGATGTACACAATGTAAATGGAAAGCATTAATATATATGTCTTAAAAGCTCCTGGCATTAATGTAGATGTGACAATTTAAACTGCACAGTCATTCACTCATGCACAGCCAGTCCTACTGTGAGAGTTCACTTTCTTTAAGCCCAAACATTCAGAGAAAACTAGGCTGAATCCGCTTAAGCAAACACTGATTGGTAGACCAAATTCAGTCTTCTGATATTACAGTTTCCACAGACATTATGATGATCTTCAAAAACTCACCAAAGTAAAAGATTTAGTTTTCAGAAAGGAAATACTGAGTTAAGAAAAAAAGGCAAGGTAAAGCTGAAAGACTGTCAAAAAACAGCTTACCAGAGACAAATTCCAAAAGTTTTTACTATGGGTAAAACTCTTCTTTATACATTCTTCTAATACCACTGTTTGCACAAATATTGGTTATATTTCCTCTCCACAGGATTTACTCCCTGAAATTGAGGGGGCACCATTCAGACTTGTAAGCTTATTTTAAAGTAACAGGTAACGAGTCTTCTTACTTGTCCTCCTCCAAACCAGTACAGAACTATTCTAGCTGTACAAAAGTTAAAACTTAAAGGTTTTTTCCACATCGGCTAAACTGTGGAATGTTTCACAACATCAAACCAACAGGGGTCTGTTTAGTATTTTGTGAGTATTCTGGAGCAAAAGTAAGCAGTCATTACGCAGTTTTTGCTTTCCGGCATCCTCTGGCACGCAGCTGGTCTCTGACAGACTGACAGTATTTCTTGTCAGAAAGTGTCAACTGGACTTACTGCAGTCTTTAAAAAACAAATAAACAAAAGACCCAACACTCTGCTTGCTAGATTTTATTGAGACTAAGAACTATACACATTTTAGAAGTTCAACTTCAGGTTCGGATTCCGTCCTTTTACATTTCTCATCTACCTTGAGCTGAGGGCTCCTACAGACACAGCTAATGCTGCAGAGAGAACTCCAAATCCTTCAACAGAAAACTGCTGTGTACTGAGAGATCCTCCATCAGCAACTCGCTGGAATAAACGCACAAGCAACTATGCTCTGCGTGGTATGTTTCACCAAACACAGTATGGATATTCATTTTTATTAAAGAGAACATTAATTCGGGGAGGAAGAAGGGAGCAGTCACCAGTTACATGTTGCACATGGACTGGATTATGGGCCTGACTTCCTTCTTCCCTCCTATTTCAAGACTAGAAAGAGGTCCATCTTTACTAATGAAGTGGTTATCTGAGTATCTTTGGTGTTTGCTGTTATGTTTAGCCTTCATCCAGCCTGTTGGGTGACTGGTATTGATAAATCACTATTGTCTGTATACATGGGAAACAAGAACAGACTTCCTGAAGTTGACAAGTTACCAAAGCTCCAAGAAACTTAGAGTAAGTGCAGTCTTAAAAGGCACATAAAAAGAGCCCCTAAACCTTTCTAATTTCAAAGCTCTTCAAGCAAACATTTATTTTAGAGTACAACAAAATAACTGGATTGAGTTCTGAGCTGGTAGAGCATGCATAGCAGTTAAAGAACCTCTTTAAATACATTAACTAAAGCCATTCTTAGTCTTTTATTAAAGAAAAAAGAATGAAAGATTTGCATAAAAAAAGCCTAGGAAGACATAAAAACATACATAAACCATAACTGCATACCTGAGATATGAAACGGATCCATTCTATTTCTCAATTACTAAGCTGGCAGGCTGAAATTACTTATGTCCCAAGCCATAATTCAGCACTACTTGAACTATGCATAATAAGTATACCACTCTATTTTCAAAGCTTTTAAAAACAAGAGCCCTTAAAGAAGCATAACAAAAAGGAGAAAAGGTTGATAAATCAACTTCCCAGTAACTACGTTAGAAGTTTCCTTTTTAATAAAACATGCACAAGATACACACCTTCTTCACCCACTTCAGCACGATCTGGCTTTGTTTCTTTGTGCTGTCCTTCTGCCACTTTCACTGCCACTGCTCTGCAAATAGCTCCCAGCTTCCGATCCAGAGAGCGGACTCCCGCCTCTCTAGTGTACCTAGTGTAGAGATAATTGTTTTACTGGTAGATATTCTTTGTAAGAGAGATTTCTTTTGAATGTAAACACTTTCTTTTCAAAAAAATACATTCAAATAAAAGGAGACAGGAAAGGCAGTGAGACCTTGGGCTACTCTAATAAATAGGAAAAAATGTCAAGGGCTTTTATCAAAATCATTGTGATTTGCTGATAAAATTGTAAAGAAGACGAACTACTGATCGAGAAGATGTGACTAACACCTGCTGTCAAACCTTAATGAAATACTAAACAATGCTCCAATAGCACTAAGCTCTTCTCAGATGCATAAAAATTAAAAGGAAGAGCTATTTTAAAACTCAAAATATAGTTCACTGAAAGTTGAGGAACTGACTGTAACAGAATATTTTCTTTTAGTCTATCAATTAAAAAGAACATTCACTAAATGCCAAAATTCTGTTCCCGGTCATAAAATACATCCATTCACTGAATACTGATACACTTTTTCCACAGGAAGTGGGCTAGTTTCAAATCCAAAAGATATTCTGATCAATATCTTTGCTCTCATATCCAACAAAAAAGTAGTTCTAATTAATGCAAGCTATTTAAAGAATACGTTTTGATTTGTTTAACCTAATTCCAATTTTTAGACAAATGTGGCCCATCAAGTCACAAGAAATAAAATGGTAATTTCCATTTTTTCTATGAAAGCAACAGAAATAAAACTTCATTCTTTAAAATAAAGGTTGCCTGCTGCCAAGACCACGGCTTCACACAGCAATACTAGCTTCAAGGGTTTCTGTTTGTTGATAGTGCATTGCCAGTTGTGTCAACACAACTGATTGTGAGCCACACTCTGAGAGCCAGAGCAAGGAATTCGCTAGAGAAGGAAGGATGATTTCGTTTAGACAGCACAGCCAAGACAAAGCTTCAGAAAGTGCAAGGCGATGCTGGACTTCTGAAGCTATTCAGGACAATAGATCTTAAGAAATATTTTGAGTTATCACCTTATAAATGATTTACTAGTTACCAGAAAAAGATGTTACTTAAACTTAAAGCAATGAATAACAGATTTACCTGGTAATTATGTCCAAAGTGGTTATCTGTGGAATCTGTATTTGCTGTGGAGTCAGGCCATGTTGTTCAAGCTGTTTAGGAATCAAGTGTCTATGTGCAATTTCAATTTTTTCTTCTTGTGTGTATCCTTCAAAAGAAAAAGCATATGTTTACTAATCTTTTTGCTTATACACTACAATATAATCAATTTTCTTATAATTTATATTTGTACCTGATTGAATTTAACAAAAAAACCCATCTATAATTTAAAAGGCTGCTATGATACTTTGTGGTTATTCATAACTTCATGTGAACAATAAGAATAGAATTTTAGTGTTTCAACGATCCGTTTCTTCATTGGAATCTTAAACAGATGCATCGGCCAACAGCCAGTTAGAATACAAGCACATCAATCAGCCAAAATATTGTTACAGAATGTATCAATGCATCTCCATATACCTCGAACTGAATTTGCCTAAGTGCAATGCTACATTTCATTCTCATGACAGAGGCCATAATGGAGGCATCCTGGCTAGCCTCTTTTAATGATTTTGGCCATTCAGTCTAGATTCCTGGTGGAGTTACCTTAAGGAACTGCTTTTCATTTCAGGAAAAACACCCCAACATTGTTTAAGACCTTTCAATACCACTTTAATGAAAACACTGTAGTGTTACCTGGAACTTGAATAATTTCCATTCTGTCCAGCAGAGCAGGTGGGATAGTAGCTGTAGTGTTGGCCGTAGCTATAAAAAGGACTTGGGACAGATCAAAGGCTACATTTAAGTAGTGATCAGTGAAACTGTGATTTTGTTCTGGATCCAACACCTTAACAAGAATGAACACAAAATTGATGCAGTTGCTCAGTTAGTAGTAAATAAAATATGCACATTTTTATTATATTCTATTTTGATCTGTCAAATCTGACTTGCATTCATAAAATATGGTTTGAACATTACTGAAGCCTGACCCTCAATACCCTGTCTCGCTCCAATTACTCTGTAACTACATTTCACATCACATGCAAAAAAAAGTTGTTTCAACCGTTAGTTCTTTTTACCCTTTACTAAAGATGACTGCAGCATTTCTCCAGTCATCAGGTACCTCCTGTAAGCTATCTCGATGACCTTACACAGATGGTAGCGAGCGGCCTTTTAAGGACTCTCAGGACCCTTGGAAAAGCAGCCCATGTGGTCCCATGGACATATGAGTAGAATTCTCTCAAGTAATCCCCGAATACAATCCTCATCTGCTGCTGGTAGCTCTTCTTACTCTAAGCACAGCACCCTGAGAGATCTCACTGTGAGGACCAAAGGGAAGAACAGATTACCTCAGCCTTATCCACTGTCACTAAATCACCTGACCCACTCACAGAATCATCTAGGTTGGAAAGGACCCTGGAGATCATCTAGTCCAACCGTTCGCCTAGCACAGTTCCCACCTACAGCATATCCTTAGGCTCCAACTCGACCCGACTCTTGAACACCTCCAGGGATGGGGACTCCACCACCTCCCTGGGCAGCCCATTCCAACGCCCAACAACCCCTTCTGGAAAGAAATGCTTCCTGACATCTAGTCTAAACTTTCCCTGGTGCAACTTAAGGCCATTCCCTCTTGTCCTGTCGCTTTCTACTAGGCTAAAGAGGCTCATTCAGCTTTGTCTAGCCTTTTACTACTAATGTAATAGTAGCAGGTCTTCTCTTGCCCATGATATCCCATGCAAGTCTTGACTCCAGGTGAGCCCTGGCTTTCCTAACACAATCTTTGCATTTTTCTTTCTTTCCCAAATTTTGTGATAAAAAGAGACAAAATTAAAGCAGCACTGACGAATAACAACACACAGCCTAACCAACTTTAAAATTTTATTGCACAAGTACAGCTACAGCTTAAATAACAGTGTTGTCTTCCTATTGCTTTTAATATTATTTATGTGTGCTAATGCAACACCTGCATATATTTAAGCTATTACTTGAATAAGCTGGTTTTCTGCATTAGGTGATAAATATTCTATATATGTGGATCACAAGTATACTAAGGTGCTGTCGTGTAGGTTTTTTAACAGTGATGAAAATTGGAAGTTCATCATATATAGCAATCTACACTTGGCTTCCATATCACCACCTATGAACCACCTTAATTCCACCTCCCCTTGAAGTACTGCCACACTTTTCCTTCCCAAATGATGAATTATCAATGCTACACTGACATGAATAATTCTCATGTTACAAATAATGGGACCTATGCATCGCCTGAGAAACAGCACACTGCTGTCAAAATAATTTATCTGCCTATACCCAAATGAATGCATCTCTTGTCTTAGCAACTTGAATTATAGCCAAGAACAGTGTTGGTAATTCTAAAAAACCTGAGTTTGAGCAGTTCTTAGCTGGTTATGAAAGAAACAATTCTGAATTTTCATTACTCTTCTGTTCAGTCTTTAAAAAGTTAAAAATCTTTAAAACAAAAATGTTTTATGATCACAACAAGCTAGTAAAATACTTATGCCAGAAACACAGCAGAACTTTTTTTAAATCAGAACATTTTCTGACTTTATTTCGAAGTACTGCACAGATTTAAGACTGATATTTGCAAATGTATTGCAGTTGTAATAAAATATATTACACATTGTAATTACAATTAATTACACGTTTCCCTTAAAACATACTGAAACATATGCCTGAATTCTAAAACTCAGGTTGGAACTCAGTGAATGCTATTGTTCATTGGCCATAAGCTATTCAAAAGCTTCTTTTCTTACCCTCTTCAGCAGGCAGCTGCTATCACTTACTTTCTTCTTTACCGATAAAGGCAAAGGCCTTGAGGTATTCTGACTAGCCAAGTACACTGATGCATAATTCAGTCAGAGTTGTCTCTTACCTCAACTAGTCCTACAATCTAGCCCTGACATGTAGAGACACAACAATAGGCAGCATATCCAAGCACAGCATCTACAAACTATCTTCAAAGAAAGTAGATCTATACAAAATATTATTCTCCCATTCAAAGTATACTCTTGCAAATTTTTCAAAACTGATTTAAACAGCAAATCCTAATTCAATTTACCCTTTCTTTTTTCTTTTTCTTTTTTTTTTTACACTGATAACACAGTGTTTCCACAAAATTCCACTGTATGAGCTGAAGCATTTGCAACTACTTGCAAAGATGCTGAAAAACAGTGTATTCTGACAGACCAAATTTGGGTTTTATAACATTTATCTGTGTTATTTCTCTTTCTCCTTCTAGTCTGCAACTAGAAATCCTCATGAATCCTCCTAAGCTGGTGATTATATTATCTACAAATATATACAAAATATTGTACTCATGCACAAAAAATACTATCCAATAAAGGTGAAGTAAACTGTAGTCAAAACCAATTTGGATGAAATCTAAAAACGTGGATTATCTGAGATTTTCTCCAAGGACTAGACTTGCTCTGGACTAATAATTCTTTGTCATGGTAACTATTTCTTAGAATAAGACATGAAACAATATCACACTTATGCACTTAAACCAGATTTTCCAAAGCAAATAGAACTGTTCTTCAGCTAGGCATCTATGCTAAAGTTCAAGTTCAAAAGTTTTCAGAGATATTCAACTAATACAAAAGTATTAAGTACAAAAAGAACATTCAGTGAACAAAACATCTTGGTTAATTTATGGCCAACAGTTCACTGGCACACAAAGGTTTCTCTGTACCAGATTTTTATGACCACAAAATCCAGAATAAGTTCCATGAACATTTAATTGCCTGGCTATGCTCCTGGTCTCATTTCCCTGCATACAAACTATCAGGCACTTGGATCCATTTCTGTTTTCTTCTGTTTTAAACAGAGGTCATCTAAATTTAGACTAAAACATTCCCTTGTTAATGAACAGTAACTGGAAATAAGAAGACGTTCTGTTTTGCTTAAGCAACAACTCTGCAGAAGCACTAGAACTGAACACATATCCGGCAATTATCAAGCTTTGCATCCAAGCTTACAGGGTATGGCGATTTTCTTCTTGAATACATCCTATTGTAGACAGTCAGTGAGAAATTAAAACACCTACACATTAAGGAGAAAAGCATGTGCCTTTTATAATGATGGCACTTGCCAAACAAGAAGCAGCAGTCTGAAAAACAAACGTGCCAGTTAGGTGACCGCTTACTGTCGTTTGTTCTCCTATATAATAGCCACCTTTGCTCATTCCAGATGGACTTTCCAACAATGTAAACCACAAAAAGCAGATGAAAATTAAGCTGTTATATCCAGGCATGAGTTCTCCATTAGAAGAGGTAAAGCACCTGCTTCAGGATGTTTAGACAGCAGTAGAAGGATATACAGATCTCACATGGGAGCAGCCCAGACGTGGTTAATAGAGCAATTACTTCTCCAGATGCAACTAATGGTCAATTAGCAATGACTTACATAAAGACTGCAGCCCAAGCAGACAGTTGGAAGCTAACCTGAGGAGCCTCAGCTAGAATAATCCATGGCAGAAGCCAAGCTGATTATCACTGAGAATGTGGTTTTAAAATAGGGAAAACCAAAAGATCCCAAAGCAGAAACAAAGTATCAAAAATTCAAACACAAATAATTAAAAAATAAATTCATTTCATTTGCCCTCATACATTTGACATGATCGAAGAAGAACAGAAATGCTAATTCTTTACTGTAAGACAGGGAATGAAAAATAAAAAACAGCAAAGCTTGAATAAAATTAGCAATATTAATGTATAGAACTGGAGTAATGATTGGAATACTTCCAAAAAAAGTTATTATCTTTCCAAGAAATGCTAAATCATTACTGAGTTTGACTGCCTACAGTCAGCTAGCTAGCAAAATTTGATTTTCAGTTATTTTTTTTATCCACACATTGACTAGATTTAAGCCAGTTTAGTTCCATATCTAAAGGAGAAGTGACAGAAGAAATATGAGCAAACTCAGAAACAGAGCTCATTACCCTTAACAGCAAAGCGTAAATAAAATTCTGGAAGTGAAAAGTACAAAGAAAATTCATTTGAGTATGTTACACTCCTCTGCTTGCTTCCTTGCATTTAGAGGCTTTTCATGTACCCTAGAAATGTGAGCTACACACTTGAGAAATACACAGGTAAAGGACCATAACTGTCATTTTTAGCTTTTAAAAAAGTGAAGTCATGTATTTTCTAGCACATTTAAATTATTACTAGTTCATGTTAACATGCAAAGATCAAAACAGAGCTCTCAAACCATAGCCTGTTCATATGCTGATTTTCAAAGAACTAGTTGGCCTTGTCAAAACAGTAATTTTACACTATCTAGCAGGAAGAAAATAATGACATTTGTAGAATGTTAATTGACATTTCATTTGCAGAAAGTCATACAGCATACAGATGAGCTCATGACACCTTAATTTAAGTCACATTTTTCATATTCAAATCACTATTAAACACTGTCAGTCAAAAAGAGTCATTGGAATGACTGTAGGCAAATATTACCAGAACCACTTTCATTCCCACCTACAACCGCCCAGCTACAGAAGTTACCACATGACACTTCTAGGATTATGCCCTAAATCATTTCAGTGAAGCAAGCTATGCTAGCTCAAAAAATCTGGATAAATATCTCTCACTAACCCAACTCCTTTTGACTGAAACAAGTAAAGAACAGTCACAGAAGCAGTCCAGCTGAAACAGTGATAGGATGGTAGGCCCCTACAGCCAGAGAGGTAGACAGTGTAAAAATACAGCAGGATAAGTTAATTTTAAATGTGCGCAATACCAAAACCATTAAGTGCAGTATTGCTACATCTGCTCTGGACAGCCTCAAGCGCTTCAGCCTAGCCCAGCCTTGCTGTGCTATTACCTTCCTCATTCCCTCCTTTCCTCATCATCTCTGCTAGCACAGGAAGATGTACACAGCTTTCTGAACTAACGTGCACTATGTCTCTTCTCCACACCCGAGGAGATGCTCCTTCCTCTCTCCAGCAAACTGCTAGCATAAAACCATTGAACATGCAAGTCAGTGGAAGCAGGTATTGTACTAGTATATCTTCATGTATCATACTCCAGGGAAAAAGACAGCAGAAAGAAGGTTCTAGCAACTCATTACTGATCTCTGCTACAGACTCCTCTGATACATGAAGCCTGCAAGGCCTAGGTCTCAATTCATCTTCTTCATAATCACTGAAGTTTTAGCCTCCTGAAATCCCAACTACTAATCTATTTAATAACATCTCAACAATTGATGGATTTACAAAATATTCCTACAGTATCTCATTCAAAGTCCTTATTTTTAGCTCCTAGATTTTACTTGTGTCTTTAAGCAAGTCTGCTTTAACACCTCTAAACTCTTAGTGATAAAATAACTACACCATGTTCTTCAAAATTAGATTCATTTATATCTTGGTCTGAGTCCCAGAATTTCAGAAAAAACACACTTAATAGCTGACTCTCATGGAAAGCAAACACTTACTACATCATTATCAGTCAAGGAATGGGGGTCTGTGACTTAAATGAAAAGGTTAAGTTTAGAAAGTTAATTACAACACTAATTAAAGAAACACTGCTAAAGGAATATGTAAGTAGTCCATATTACATGCTAGGTAAAATACTTAGCTCCAGTATAAACTCATACCATTAAAAGCTTCAAAAATATACTGAAATTGTTCCAAGAAAGAAAGGGAAAAATTAGAAAGTCCAGCTACTGTCTGGCTGCTCTACAGTTCATTCTAATAGCTAACAGCATTTGGTCATTACAAATCAATGTCTTCAAGTCCTCCAAATAAGTAGGGTTTAAGACCCAAACAGTCCTTAAAATATACAAAACACTGCATATAAAGTACATCCTTGCGTTTAAGTACAGACCACTGAGATTAAAGCTATCTTAGCATACTATGTAACAGCATTTGCATTTTGCACAAGTAATTGACAGAAATCCAAGGAGTGTCAAAACACAGTAGCTGCTATTTGAATAAAAATGCTGACACTGTAATCTATCTTTCGTCCAGTGAATCTTCCTTTCTGAGTCCGATACTTTAATTCTTTCTGATTGCAAACAAAATAATTTAACACCTTACCTCAAGCAAGGCTGCTGCAGGATCCCCCTGCAAGCTCTTCCCCAGTTTATCAACCTCATCTAACAGGAATACTGGATTGTTAACCCCAACAGTCTTCAGTCCATTGATAATTCTGCCAGGCATACTGCCAACATAGGTGCGCCTGTGAAAAATAAATGTATATGGGGAAAGAGGGGCCAGATGCATGTAACAGGTAGCAACATAAAAAATAAACTCAACGAAAAACATAAGAAAGAGCAGAATTGTAACAATTCTTGCTGTTTTTCAAAACCTTTTGGAACTAGTGGATTAAAACATGGAATATACATCTGAACCAATATAAGCAATTATATCAGCAGATGAAAATTCCAGTTCCATGGTGCACTAGTTGGTCTGGAAAGATAAACAAATGGATTAAAGTATATTCAAACTTTATGGCTTGCAGACATTTTACATGATTCAGTACAAGAATCCTTGTACTGTACAAACAAGCAGAAGCAGATTTAGGAACCTCATTAATACTAACATTTTAATAATGATGATACTGGATTTTTATCATCACAACAGAGTTCACACAGCATGTTACAATTTAGGGCAAAAATCCAAATATGCTGAACCGTCGATGGCCCCTGTATATATAGAATGCTTCAGTTCATACTCACAAAAAATAATGGTATTTACTATGTCATTTCAACATGAAATAAAAAACTAGAAGAGTGCAGTGGAACAAAAAAAAAAAAAAAATAGTAAAACTTTTTTTCACAACGCACAGAGCAGCTACACTTTACATGGGTATATATCCTGTTTGCTACGTTTATCACGGCCTTTTCTGCTTGTGCCATAACTAAACAAAATACTATTAAGAATATGAAATGCTGGTCACTCAACAGGAGATACATAAAGTGCTGAATTATAGTACCTATCTCATGACCCTCGCAAAGCAGATACGAAGAACGGGCATGCTTTGCCTTAATGCAGTCCAAAATAAACAGGATGACATTTAGAAAGACAAAACCAGAAATACCATGGGAGTAATTTCAAAAGATACTAGAGAAGACTTTAAATGTAAAAAAAAAAAAAACAAAGAACTCAAACCACACAGCAATGGCGTTAGCTCCATGTAACATTTAACCACTAAGGGAACAAAGTGCAGTTACTGTATTTAATTCTAGATTGGAGCAGAAATAAAAGTTTTTAAGATAATCTAAAATAGCCAGAAACACAAAAGAATTTCAGTATGCCTATTATCACCTTCACAGGCAGCTGCCAAAGACTGGAGCAGCCAGCATGCTATAGTTTATCACCTCACTGCTTTTGTGTAGTCTTACTCTGCAGCAAGTGAGCGGATTCCTCTCCACACTGAGGATCGCACTCTGTAACATTTATTACAGATCAAGAATCTGCATGGGGGAGCTATTATACTAGCATGCCACTTCATTCTCCATCTGCACACAGTCAACCTTGCCAAAAGAATGACAAGCTTTTATAAAATGCAATCAGAAAATTACAAGACTGAAGCACAACTGAAGTTCACAGAAGTGAATCATTCACCAGTGCAACCGAATTAATCGTTGTATCAATTTGGGGGTTTCTTTGAGGTTTTTTGTTGTTATATTTTTGTTTGTGATTTTGGGTTTTGTTTATTTGGTTATTTGGTGGTGGTGGGTTTGGTGTTGTTTTGTTTTTTAACAAAAGGTGCTTACTAGTAAAGAATTTTATATGCTTCAGAGACAATGCAGCCTAACTGTTTTTAATATTTTTTTATACCAGTAATGGGATAATTAGGTAAACATTAAACATTCTTGCTTCTTGCTTGGTACATTAATCTCAACTACATGCTTAGAGACATTACACTTTTCAAATGTGTGTTTGTGGTTTTACATACACAAAGTTTTATCTGATTATTTTAAATTCTATAATATTTTGAGCTGTTTCATCTAGTTTTAAGAAACAGCTTTGGTTTATAAACTAAATGAAGGTAAACTGGGTTTCTCTAGTCAAGGGAAAGCACTGTGAATAATCGCTCTTTCTCTCCCTGCACCATTCAATTGCAACAACACAAGTCAAAGGATAATAAATGTTACGTACCAAAAGGTTTTATAAATAATCTGTTTTATACCTATGCACACACACACACCATCTTTAAAAACTTTTCTGGAGTTTTTCCAAATAGAAACACTTTAAAAAAAAGAAACCAATCAGGAATTGATTTTTTCCTTCTTGACATACAGAAAAGCCGTTTTTATTAATAGACTGAAATACTTCCCCCCACCCCACCCCCACCCCTGAAAATAGACTTGAAGTCACAGTCAGTTTACATTCAAGTAGATTTGGCTATTTAATGACATATTTGTGGAAGATTCTTACAGACACAACGTCTTTCAGTGACATCCCTGTACACAATCAAGTCTCTTAACATTTTAAAATAAATCAGCCGTACACTAGGTAGGCTGAAGCACAACATATCAAAATTTGTGGTGAAGGAAAAGGAAAAAGAAACAAATATACTCAAGACAACTTACGATAAGTCAAGTGAGATCAATACCTTGTAGAAATACAATTTTAAGACTATAAAAATTAAGTGGCTTCTAAAGCAAGCAATAACAAAACATTCTGACAGTGACAGAAAATCTTTTTTTTTTTTTTTTATTTATGCACCCTGTCCAAAGTAAGCCTTGGGTCATGAGCTACCATATAAAAAACTATTCTATTTAAGAAACCATAATCCAACTGAAATGGATCCAATGTTCCAAAAAAGATGAAATGGTTCCCTCTACAACCCAAGATTTATTCAAAAAACTCAAAAGTCAAAATTAAAGGAATTATTGATTAGAAATATGGAGCAGTTCTGCAAAACACTTCGTCTCCACCAAATTAGGGTTAACAGATGAGAAAAGCACACAGTGGCTAGAAACATTCTGCTCTTCCTTTCACTACCTGAAAATTGCCTATTCTTGCTCTTCTTCTCCCATACTGCCTTCTCATTTGTATTTCCAATCACTTCTAGACATGGTAAATCTAAACAACTAACTGATATAAATGTTTAATTGGTGTACTAAATCTCAAATAAAAGCATGCTTAATTTTATTTACATGTGTTCAGGTATCACGAAAGAGAAACTCAGACTATAAATTTTAGGATAACAAACACCTAGGTGTCAAAACATTCTTCCTATGTGTAACAGTCTAAATCTGTGATACATCTTAATTCATTAGACATGGACCAATACCTCTTTTATTATACTATTAATTAAAGACTTAAGATCTCCAAGGCAACCTGAAGAATGCTAATGCAAATGTTACATGTAGGATGACAGAGAACAGTAATGTAGTATTTTACCTTGAAAATACAGATAGCCTGTTTTCATTTTAAATGGTTATTATGGAACACATCTCAACACAAGAGTCCTCAGTGAGACAGACCCTGCAGACATTTACATATAAACCCACTAGAATATATTGAAATTACAAGCTGATATGGCCATTTATCTGTTTGGACATTAACCTTTGCCTTGTAACTTGTGAAACAATACTGCTGTTTATTAACAGCAGCCACTGAATGTGCTCATTCTTTATTTTCATTATTTTAGCTAGGGTTCAAAGGAGGAAAAATAATGTTCTACATTAGCATTTTTGGTGATATAATGTGGCTTTGCTCATTTTTTGATGCACTGTTTCTCTTTGTGCATTAAACCTAGAGAGTCAGCTGCTTTCCATTCAAAACAGAAAGTACAGGTAGTTTCCTGGTTTTCTCACTTGTGTAGTAACGATTAAAAGAAAAGCCTTAAGAGCTCATGCCATAGGAGGTCAGTAATTGAGTAATCTTTTTATTTATTTTTAAATCAGTGAAAAGGTACCTTTAAAAAAAACCACTGGAGTTGTACAACATGTCATTAGGAGCTATGTATCCTAGAAAATGCAAGACAGACAGCTTGGAAATCTAACCTTGTCAGCCCTCCCAATGTAAACTGGAATGTGTAGGAAACACAACCTTTAAAGCAGTACTAGTATTATTGATAAAAACATGACTCACTGTCTCAACACTGTTTTAAAGACAAAAAGGTTTAAAATGTTTTTAACCATAGTGGTTTTCAAACCGCAGAGGTAAGAAAAGACAAAGTTAATGCCACCAAACAATTTCTGAACTTAGCCACACAAGGTCACATACCTTTTTGCATGGACAAAGGTTGCGTCTACTCAAGTGCTTTACAAATGCATCTATACTTTGTACCTGTATAACAAAACTATTCCTTTCACAAGTGAAATTGTTTGAAGGTTGTTTTTTTCTAGTGCAACAAGGCCTGTGCTATCAACTCCCACTAGCATAGCTGTACTGGTGAGGAATCACACCTTTTCTCACACAGATGCACCAGAACAAGTCCTCAGCACAGGCCTAAGCCCGAAGTAAACTATCCAAACTTCTAGAAACTGGAAATGGTAATTATAAGAAAGAGTGCTTCACAAAGAGGTGAGAGAGACAAAAAAAGAGCTTCACAGTGATCTCACCAGCACCACTATAAATAAATGGCGCAATTACATCTTTCCTTTTTAAAAATAGAAAACCACATATACATATCACAGAAAAGATCATATACTTCCTGTATAAACAAAATACCAGTACTGAGGAGATCTTAAATGCAGTGAGCTTCCTGGAAAAAAAATTCTAAGTCATCCTTCAGGGTGGTTTGGGTTTAAAAAAAATAATTTTTTTAATACAAGTTAACAATAAATGTAAACCAACAAACTTCAACATATGGTATAGATGAGTGGTAAATGCAAACAGCAGCTGGAGGATGTCTGATAAAGCAGTTCTGTTTTTGTACCAAGATGATGATTTCACTTTGGGAATGCAGAACAGTAGTTGCTACTCTTTGCCCAATCAAAAAAGAATTCACAAACCACAGCTGCAGGCACATGATCCAGACTGAAATGGCAAAAACGGGGTGTTTCTGATTGCCCTAGTTACACATCGCATGGAACAGCACACCTACTGCAACACCACTCCGCACCCTGCTGCCATCTAATATATTTTGTTCTGCTTGCTGAATCTATCAGTCTGCATCTGTCACAACAGAGCAAATGGCCAAAATGAATGCTATTTCAGGCAATATTTGCTTGCAAGTGAAACTGAACGAGTTTCTTTTTTAATGTTCTAGTATATTTAGTACATTTTTTAAAATGTTTAGTACATTAGTAGGTACATGGAGTACCATTATTCTGCAATGTTAATGGAATCCTTAACTTAAGCCTTAAAGCCTAATAAGGAGCTTTTCAGAGAAAAAGAATGGCTCCTGACATGTAGTATTAGAAAATCAGCCTACTTAAGAGTAAAACTCAAGAGAACAGCAGCCTATGTCTCCTCCACTTTTAGACCACCTCTGTAACTCCTCTCTGTGATTGCCACCACATGCACAATATTAATTCACTTGACTAGAAATAACTTGAAGGATTTATTAATGCAAAAGAGACATTAGAGAGAGGTCTACAGAAAAGCAGTAGTTTTAATTTAATTAAACCTTATTCTGAAAAGCAGAAAAGCAGGAAAAACAAAGCAGCAGAATTACAAAAAAATCTGTATGCAACAGATGATTTTGATCTTACCTACAAAAAACTTGCAAAAGGAGTCAGTTACAAGGGACTCCTCCTCTAAAACTATTTTTTTTTAAACTATGTTTGTTGAAAAGTAACCACATGACACTCTTGCTAATTCTAGATAGTATTTTCCTTTGCTGATGAAAAATAAACTCGTATCAAATATGTTCCATCAGCTAACTTCCAAGTACATTTTTAACATTAAATTTATAACGGTTAGCTTTTAACATGCATTAATAATTTAATAATGCCCTAAAAATACTACATTGAAAGGCACAAACACCTGATTTTAAAAGTTTTTCAAAGCCTCATTATCACATGACTCTAGCCGTCTTTATTAGGTCTAAACACAAGATAGAAAGCCAAACAAACCAAAACAAAAAGCATCAAGGAATTACTGGCAACTGAATAAGAGTTGATGACAGTTTTACTTCTATTCAGAACATCAATTTCACAGATATGATTTCACTGTTACAAAGGCTTCAGCCCTGCTCTGCCCTGGAAAAGTTACTTGTGATAATGCTGAGTATTCAACGGCCTCTAGTGGTTTCAGATCGAATAGCAACATGTTGTTGAATTACATTTTAAATTGGTTTGGGGATCCATACCATAAGTAATCTGAAAGATCGGAATTCTTACTTATTAAACAGTGATTAACAACATAATTTATGAACTACAAGAATAATACATAGTGAAGGAGGACAGAGTTTTGCTTCTTTTTTTCATTAGTGTGTAAGCAAATGGGTAAAAAGGCCAGCTATTACAAAGGTTTACAAATCACATACATGGACAGAGTGCTCTTATGCAGTAAAAAGAAATGCATTAAAACAAATGTATCCAGAAGTCTCCAGTGGCTGCTGGGTATGTTGACCAAACCTACACTAAGAAAAACTTACAGATGATTTTTTCAAGCCTCAAACTATATATGTCAAACAGCCTGGGAAACAAAACTGCAAATCTGCCACAGAAGAATGCACACAGTAATAAATGCATGTTGCTCATTTTATCGAGGGTGCTGAACTAAAGGTTTATGAAACAACTCTGAATTTTCAAGTTGTCAACAAGCACAAAATCGCCGTTTGTTGCTTTGTCATCTCTCATGTTCTGGTCTAAGAAGTGATTAGTAGCATATTATACTCTCAATTCCTAGAAACCCATTATATTCCAGATTCCTAGAAGTTTATGCATATGTTCAGCACAAGACTTCCTAGTGAGTCTCCCACATTCCTTCCAGCTGGGACTGTGAGCTTTCACCACTCTAATGTATTCACACATGCAACTCGCTTACATAGTCAGAAATCTGAAGTTTGATACCACAAAATAAACTTTTATTAGGGCATTTCTTTAAAATTTTCATTAAAATTACATAGGGAAGTGAATAGGGAAGAATACCAAGGTCCTTTTTATGCCTTGAAAATGAAATTACAAAATAACCTGGAGTTGAACAGAAAACAACGGTGTGTTCTGATGATTGAAAGTAGCAGCATAGCAACTGGGCAAAATTAACTCCTACCTGGCATCAAAGAAATAACTGATAGCTTTAATTCACATAATTTACCTACTGTTGTAAGAAGAAATTTAATTCTGTAACATGACTTTAAAACAAACAAACAACCCACATGGTTTTACAGATTTTCAGAACACTGACAAATTCATTATTCCAAACTTCCTACACTGCATGCTATAAGCATAAAATATGTTTAATGGAACCTAAAATGCTACAATGATTTTTCGGTTGCTACTTATCTACATTAAGCTTCCAGTTGCAAGGAATGGGGAAAGGATGAATATAAACAACGGGTTTAAAGAACTAACAGAAAGATACATAAAGAGATGTAATGTCAAAAAAAAAAAAAAGTCCTAAAAAACCCCCTTTGAAACCTTCCAGTTTTGGCATCCTTGTATAAACTTCCTTTTGAAATGGGAAAACAGTACACTAACAATTTCAAGATACTAAGTAACTGAGTTGCTAACCTCCAACAACTTTTAAGTACCAGTTTCTCCTCCTGTTTTAGCAACAAATGTGGTTACAAAGTAATACACTGATATTCATAGGCTATTTTGTATAACTAAATCTCGACATCCCTCTTAAGAAGTAGACAAATCAGAGCCAACATTTAAGTTTGCATTAGACTTTCCACTGAATTTTTCTTTCAAAGTGCCAAAATGACTGAAGATTAAATTCCATTCTCCTCCATGACAATAAAGGGCAGCAGCAGAAGGAAAGAATAAAGGCTGTATCAACATTAAATATCCATTCCCATTACTAAAATTCTCTCTAGAATAATAACATTGTATACCAAGAAAAATCAATGAAATTGATTGAAATTTCATTGTTTGAAATAAGCAAAATTTCTCTGTATTAGCTAAACAATGAAAATAATACATTCTGTAAAAAACAAAAAAAAATGCAATTGGGAAAGGAAGAAGTAGTTACCTGTGGCCTCGAATATCAGACTGATCACAAACTCCTCCTAAAGCAATTCTGTGGAATTCTCGACCCAAAGTCTTTGCAATTGATCTTCCAACACTAGTTTTACCAACTCCTGGGGGCCCCACAAAACAAAGAATGGGTCCCTTGAGGTTGTTTTTAAGCTGTCGGACAGCTAAGTACTCCAAAACTCTCTTCTTCAACTTCTCCATAGCATAATGATCATTATCCAACAGAATTCGAGCTGCACGAATTTCAAGGCGATCTACCAATCATTGACAACAGAAAAGGTATCAGCATATTTACTATTAAAAATTGAAATAATTCATTATACAAACAAATGCATTCTCAAATACGTTCATCAATGCAATCGCTCTGACACACACTCATATTTCCAACAAAGTTTTCCGAAAAATAAAGGTATTATAATTCTCCTTTAATAAGGAAATTAGACATAAGCTAGACAGATCATAGTGCCGATAATGAAATCTAAAACCCCCACCTTTTCACTGTGTCACATATTGAAATCTGGTTCAAGTGAGTTTAGTGTCTATTCTAGAACAGTGATTCAACGATAACAAAATTTTTCAGCATGTGTTTTTTCACAGAAATAAGTATGATCCTGTAAAGTCTTCTTAAAAGCCAAATTAATCCCTATGTCTTCTTCATCTACTTAAGAGAAGAGTCTGTAACTATGTCACAAACAGAGTAAATTCTTGCAGGGCAGGCTTTACTCGCTGTGCGACACTTGAAGTGTTTTGGCACTGCAAAACATATCCATGGGATAGTAGGACTGAAAGAATTGTTTTTTTGCAATTGCCATCATTTGAGATAAATGGTCAGGCCTCACAGATGCACATTAATTAATGCTTTACACAGAGCAGGAATTTCTGGCACAAAGCAGCTGTCTTCTCCTTAGCTGTACAACATAAGTGTAGGCAGGAAGCAATGAAGTCTATCAACCTTGCACACACTCACCCTTCAAATTCTATACTTTCCAGGTGCAGATCCCTCATACTGGTAAGTATGCATACTTCACATACCTACAGCTGTGATTAAATTTTCATACATACCTACAATTGTGATTAAATCTCATCATCAACCATTTAAATTTTTGTAATGAACCACTGAACAAAAAATTCACTAACAATCACAATTTTCTATTGGATTATCTATTTCTGTATTCAGGTATACTTTTATTTACTGTAGCTATGATGTCCATAGCATCAATCACATGAATGTGAATACAAACTTTGCAACTTAAAGTAAAAACTTCAAACTACATGTGACGTGGCATAATTTTAAAACATTAAAAGAGCAACTTTCACCAAAAAAACACTCTGCATGGACATGAGTGTCAACAAACACTTTACTCATTTTGGGATTCTTTGAATTCTTTGCAAAGATGTGTAGGCAGATCTATTCACAATTTAATGATTAAAGAAAATACTTACAAGAAGATTTGTAAATAGAAAAGGCTCTAGTTCAAAACAGTCAAAATTCATCACCACACATACCAAGAAGGCAAAAGATGGACAGATGTTTCTGCTGGTGTGGTTATGTTAAATTTCTTTTTAAAATCAGATTGTTGTAAAAGCCATCCAAAAGCCTCATTCTTCAGTAGCTGCTAGAAGTAATTGTAATCCTTTTCTCCAGCAGTATGCCTTCTGGAGAGTCATTCTGCCCACTTAATCTACTTGTATTGGTCAGTAGGAAAAGTCATGTTTCATTTTCTACCCTTTCCTCACTCCATTTTTGCAAACCGTTTCCATATTATTACTCTACTCACAACTTTTGAAAACTGTGGTATAAAGCTGACATGATAATCATGTTTTTCTATTGTACCTGAAGTTGTAATTTTTAAAATTAATCACAATTGTGCTTTTTCATCCTTGTGTTCCTTATCAAACTTAAGTCACATCAGAACCTTCTTCAGGAAGACTAATGCTACACAAATGTACAAACACTTTTTTGTCTAACACATAAAAAGTAATTAGATGCTCTTTTCTTCATTATTTTAGATACATGCTAGCACAGATTGTAAGTAATAACATCTTCATTTTTCTGTGTAGATATTCCTAATACTTTTTAAATTCACATTTTAAGATGTGCAACAGAGCTACACAGGCTATTCAGTAGACACATCTTACTTTAAGATGGGTATACCGTAAGATTTCAGTAACACATTCATGACATTTTTATGGTCAGACAATGAGACAAACATTTGCAAGACAGAACTAGTATGTGGTGTTTACATGATGGTTACTTGTCCTAAAATGTCTGTGCAAGACACAGTCAACAATAACAGAAGGGTTTACCTTTTGTACTCTTGTTCCATGGCAATTCTACCATCAGTTCCAAGTAATTTCTTGTCAATGCATATTCTGGCATCGACTGAGGCATCTTCTTTAATCTGGAAATATATGTGTAGAATTCATAAGGCTAACCAGGAAGTAACTGTGAAGTAAAGCTCCCCTGGACCACAAAATAGATATTTAGCAAACTCGAGCTCATCAGCATACCCTCTTACTTTCTGACAACCATAATACTAAAAGTCACTACTCCATCAATTAGGAGATTGTCTTTGCATAATAATAGATTACATACAGGACACAAACAGAATTGAAAAAAAGAGTCAGTTCCCTGTGCATACACAATGCATGCACCACTATATATGCATCCTCACAAAAGAGGTTTTTAACCATCCTATCACCATGGATAGCAGTTATCCTCTCCAAAGAAAAACAGAGGAAAAAAGATTCAATAACTGGGTCAGTTTATTCACTAATTATTAACAACTGTGGTGCTATTTACTTTTCTTTTTTATAGAGTTTATATACAGTTTAATGCCTTATTAATGTATAAACCTTTATCTAGAAGACTGTATTTCTTTGTATTCACCACTGATGTTCCAAAAAGATGAACTGATGAAACTTATAAGCAAAAACTAGCACTCTACTGTATTTTAAAAAATTATTTCTAAAACACAACACAAACATCATCACATAAGAAAAGGTTAATGCAAGATTTGTTTTAAAAAATAAAATAAGAAAAGAAATCACCATTTGAAAGTCTCCTACCTCTTTATTTCCTTAAGGCAAACTTTAAGAGCTTGTTCTGACATACTGGATGTTCTAATCTTTTTTTCCAGCATGACAACATCATCATGATCTTCTTCTTCCTCTTCATCTTCTGTAGTGCTTGGAATGTGACTGATTCTTCTATTAGGACGAATAGCTACAACCTATGAAAGCCAGAGAATAGTATCAGGTTTTGTTTTTTAAATAAGGTGTGTACTTTTGCTTTGAATGGAAACGACAAAAACATGCAAGGTCCTGGGAGACCCTCCTTCATAGATAAATTCAGAAGATTTTAATCCAATAAATAACTTCAAAGTGTTACTTGTACTACTTTCTAAAGTTACAGTATTTCTTAAGTGCATTTATCAGCTATCCTAAACTAGCAGACAACAGAAGACAAGAACAAAACTGAAATTATTTGTGATTTTTGGGGCACTGCAGCCTATCACATTAAGCAGAATAAGCCTAATCTTTACAAAATGGCTAAGTTTTCTCTCTTAACTTTTTTTCATTTCTCAACTACTTCCTATTTCCTAAACTGTGTAAACATAGTTAGATGCAGCAGAATTCTAAGCTGCTCTAGTTTAGCAAGCCATGTTTTACAGCACACATTCTTTACCTGCATTTCAAAAGCTGTATCATCCATCTGCAATACCATTAGTAAAAGGTACACCTTTCACTGCATAGGCCAAAACTCAGTATGTGCATACCACAGAAGTAAACTGGGCATCAGATGACTCTTTAAAGGAACCTGAGCATTTATTCAATGTCAGAAAGTGCTCAGATTAAAAAAGAGAAAAAAAGAAAAAGCCTAGGCAGTTTTAAAAGAATATTTTAGGTATCTAAACAGTCAAAGTTGTCAGTTCTCTGCAGCTCCACACTGACCATGAAACATTATGGTATGGCTATAGATTACAACTGCACAGATTAAAATCATGCACATCCATTAGGCTGTTTAAAAGTGCACCTTTATACTCATACTTATTTAGGATGCTTAAGTATCCCACATTTAAAGCTCCATACCCTTTTATCATCATCCTGTTTGGGCTTTCTTGTTTTCTGAAGCAGCTTCAGGCCTTCAATCTGTCTAACAAGCAATGGTATAGTCACCTTGAACCGTTCTTCCAGCCGAACAGCATCTAAAATCTAAGAGCAAGGAGTTATAAGTAGCCAACAAGCTCATGCTGCTGGATCATCAGTTTGAGGGAGGGAAACACAGAGGGTACTGCTATTGTCTTTTGACCAGAGTTATAGAATACATGGTTTGGGGAAAAAAGGTAGCAAGAAAAGCCAACAAGAATACAGCACACAAAATCTAGCCTCAAGTGTCTGGATGCAAAACTACGAAACACTCCAAAATAGAAAAAAAGTCTCATCCTGCCTGTTCTTAAAGAGTCTTAATTTTTTCAATTGCATTTTCTGTGGCAAACATGTATCAGCATTCTATTTTTCAATTACTGAGCCTCAGAAAAGAGCTAGTCCTCCTCCTCCAAGAGAGTTACTGCATGATCTCCTTGGTTAACTCAGAAAAAAAACCACACCTTATGCCGTAAGGTTTTTTTGGTTTGGTTTGGGGTTTTCTGTTTATTTTGTTTGCCTTTTTCAAATTTTATACTCTACTTCATTAAACATGAAAATGGAATTGATATGTGGAAATGGGTATAATTTGGCTCTTCTGTATTTCCACAGCTTCCACTGGCTGCTCCTTTCTTTAGCACTTCTAATAAAACAGTAACCAAAAAAAGACATGGTAAATGTAATGACTAATGTACCTTACACCAGCAGGATACTCAACTACAGTACACACCTTCATTTCTATTTGCTGTGCTTTGAAAGAACCTAACATGCTTTCAACTCAAGGTTGAAAGTGCAGCACTGGCAGCAACAAAAGGAACAACAAAACTTCCGAACACAGCAAGAAAATACAGAAATCAGACTAGTAAGCATCAAGCCATAAGCACCATTTCCACATAAAATTATTTTGACATATGATGTAAATTTAATCACTGTCTCAGCATTTAAAAAAACCCACACTTCAATATGTTTTTTAAAAGTTTTAAAAAAAAGATTCTGAAGTTGTCGGTGTTAAGAAATGTATAATGATCTGTCAACTGTGATAAGTAAGGAAGATTTAAACACAATTTTAAGATTTATCATCTTTACCATGGGATGGGTAAGTCCACATTGTATTTATTATGGATTCAAATGCTAACTAGATTAATTTACCAATTGGGAGTTCTGACATATAGATATATAAGCACTTTAAACAGCACAAAAACATTTACAAGTACTCATGATCAGTTGCAACACAAATACCTTCTGGCACAATTCAAAATTATCTAACAGTGATTAACCATAAAAAACCCAGCAAACACCTAATTCCCCTCAAAAAAGTTTAAGAATGTAATACCTGAAGTTTCTCTTGGTTGGATGTACGGATGATGGAAGTCAGTATATCTGGCAAAGCTTCTCTAGGCAGATTGTCCAAAAGGCGTCTCAGCTTTGCGACTGCAGGAACAGACATATCCAGCATCTCAACCAACTGTAAGGAACACACAATTAACAATATTCAGTTACTATGCTTCTTTTTAAATTACTTCAGTATCTGACCTAAAAGGGATTGCATCTTTCAGTATGAAACATGTCTAGGTACTTTGCCAAAAAGCTACTGAAATAAATAAAAAAAAAAGTTCACAGAAGAGTCACTAACTCACCATGGAGCAATCAAGACTCTGGTCTTTCTGCTTCTCCAGGGAAGTTCAAAAAAATCATCACTGTGTGCAGCACTTTTTACAATGCCCACATCTCTTATTTCCCACACACACCCTGATTAAAAACTTTCCCAGTTAACCTTAACACTACAATGACTCCTTTTCTATACACTCTTTAAACTCAGATTCATAATACCTGGGGACATCTGTTTATAATCAAGGCTCCAGAGAGGCTTTTTCCTTTTAAATTTTTTTTTTAAAAAAAGCAATCCATTGTATATATTTTTATACATATATAATTCTGGAAAAAAAATCAAAAGTATTCCTTTTACTAGAGTGTATTTATAGTATTGCTATATACAAAATAATACCAACTTATCATAGTACTAACATACACAGTAAGTTGCATATCCTGCAATAAGCTGTGTAACACCCTGCAACTCAACACAGATACCTTAAACTAAAACAAAAATACCTATTTTGTAGTAGAAGTACTGAAACTCTACTAATCACTGAAAAATATAAGAACCATTGAAAGAGAAGGGCAGACAGGAAGAAAACAAACAAAAATCCCCCAATACACATATAAATACATCAATACATGACACATAGAATTAAAACAATTTACCTGCACTGCATACTTGTAGAATTGTTCTGACAACTCTCCAAGTTCTTCCTCAGATTTATGCTGATTAGTAAACTGCTCAAGTCGATCTAACTGTTCAACTTCAGCAACAGGATACGGTTTCTCTTTCAGCAACTGCAGGATCTGGAAGCGGCAGAGGCCTGTAACCAGCAACGTGTAACGTGGCTTGGGCCAGTTGCTACCGACGACCTGAACTGCCAAGGCAGCAGTGCCAATCCTAAAAAAAAAGATCAAAACTTTGTATTATTTATCACCTTCCACAAAACGTTTTGTGTGCATCTAGTCAAGAAGCAATTGAGTTACAGGCTGCAAGAACCTTCTGGGTCATAGATGGCAATCAAATTTGTACAGCTTCCCTTGTAACACTGATTACAAACCCAAACCTTAAAACTTGAAAATGAATGAGCTAACTGAAAATCTAAGATAATATAATACAGTCATCCCATTTAGAAACATATGTAATTTTTTCATAAATAGTTGACTGGATCTTGCTGTGGACAGGAACACTGACATTTCTGCTTAAACTGTACACGCTGGAAAATTGAGAGTTTGTCATTTACAGTTCTTCAGTGACAATGTCGGCCTCATTCCAAACAACCCTCTTAGACCACACGTATCTGTTTAAGCAGATCTGAAACAGAAGTTACTTTCTTGCAAAAGGTTACTAAGTCCACCGATGTGATGAGTTCTGAGAGTACGGGTTACAGCACGTTAGTTTTACTCATGCTTTATCCCACAGAAACACGATTCCTTTTCTTTTTATGTAAGCTAGGTCACTATTCATGCTGCTTATCAGGTAAAAAACGCTGCGGTTAACAACCGGCACAGCCTTAACGCTCCTGCCCCGCGTTTTTTGGTCGTATTGTCTTCTCCCACCTCGGCGTCCCTCTTTCACGCTTTTCCTCCAGCCGTCAGTCGGACAGTCGTCCGTCCTCCCCCACGCGCCCCCCCACCGGCGGCTGGCCCGCTGCAGCGAAACAAGTTTCTCCGAAGGGAGAAGCTTCCCGCGGGGCGGCGGCGCCGAAAAGACTCGTCCCCGCCGCCG